CTGAAAGCTGAATAAATAATCTTTCCATTGATGTGTGGTTTGTTAGGATAGGACAATATTTGGCTGAGATACAACTATTTGAATATCTGGAATCTGAGGGTGCAAAAAAATCTAAATATTGAGAAAACCGCCTTTCGAAAGTTGTCCAAATTAAGTCCTTAGCAACGAATGTTACTAATCAAAAATTAAGTTTTGATATATTTACGGTGGGAAATTTACAAAATATCTTCATGGAACATGATCTTCACTTAATATCCTAATGATTTTTGGCATAAAACAAAAATCGATCATTTTGACCCATACAATGTATTTTTGGCTATTGCTCCAAATATACCCGTTTGACTTATGACTTGTTTTGTAGTTCAGGGTCACATATTATATTATATTATATTATTTAACTAAATAATGTTAAATTACATTAATATATCACAGTAAAAAGACATTTTAAACAAATACAAAAACAAACAACGAAATTATGTTTTTTTTAAATTATGTTGTTTAATTTTATTTGTCTTATAGGAGCACTCCAAATCAGTTGAAATATTTTAATTTTAATACATTTGACATTTTTATGCCATTTATTCACATTATGGCATAAAAATGTAAGTTAATGTGACTAACATCTTAATCTTCTCAAAATTAATGAAAAAAAAAATCATTATCATTAATTATAATCAACAATTAATCACTGTCAAAAATGTCATGATTACGACAGGCCTACCTTCAAACTGGCAGCTACCAGGCAAATCTCCAGACATCCTCAGACCTTCACATGCAGTTTCAATTTTATGCAACTATACCCTTTCTGGTGCAATGAGATAATCTGGAAAATTCTGAATGAACTTTATATTACTAAACCATCAGAGACACAGGGAGCAAAACATGCCTGCGGTTTTCAAAGCACCCAGAGTAGGTGCAGACAGACTGTAACACACAGACATCATCCCGACCACTGGCGAGCTGGAAAAATCCCACCACACTCTTTAGAGAGTCCAAAACGCACAGCGCTGATGTAACCTAATCACTTTAACATGCGATTTCAGCAACAGTGACCTGGTTCTGTGCCCACATACAACCTTTGTTGATTAGGAACAAAATGGATCTGAATGCAGTCTCCAAAGCTGCCGGCGGGAGATGAGACTGATGTTAACTCCAGATGACAGTGGTGGGTTTGTGGTTTACAGTAGCACAGACAGGTGGCGCCCTGGTGTGACCAAACTGAAGTGGAAAAACAAGAACAGTGGAGGAAATGTATCCCACAAGATGATTCATGCAGCAAAAATATCTTATTATTAGGGAACACTCTACTCACACAAAACTATACAAGTACATTGTATTTTAGTACCACGCAAAGAATACAAATTTGGTAAATCAAATAAAATTTGTAATCAAATAAAAATCCTGGTATAGATATATACTATTATTGTTACTATAAATATATATGCCACGTTACAAGCTATGGTATGACTATGTGATATCACTGTACCATATCGCACCACCACTGTACTTTACTAAGTGATCGGTACCGAGGCCATTCTCTACACAAAGACGGAAACTTGAACAGAACCCAACCCGTATAAACATCCAGACTACACGAGCCGGTGAAGAAAACTCACCAGCACGATGAGACAGTCCGTATTTACTGACGGTAAACCCAAACCAGCCTTCCAGCAAAACAGCTCACTGGGTGCCGCCATCTTTAGAATCCAAACACCTGTGCAAGAACAGTGGAGGAAATGTATCCCACAAGATGATTCATGCAGCAAAAATATCTGTAGATAAGCACCTTGGCTGTGGAATTAACTGAGATATTAAAACACATGAGCTTGTCATAAAATCATAAAAAGTAAACAGTGGAGATTTTCCCATTTCAAAGGGCAGCATGACCTGACTGGTATTTAGACAGTGTAAAATCATGGTCCGCCAACAAACATTTGACAAGGGAAAAAAAGCAATGAGTTTGGTAGGCTCTTATTTACAGTAGCCCCTCACAGCAGAATACAAGATCCAGGGGGCGTGGTTGGATCTAGGGGGTGGAGATTGGTAGGTTTAGGGGTGGAGCTCTGGGAGATGGGTGGGTTTAGGGATCAGGGGGTGGAGACGGGGAGGGTTAGGTATATGTAAGCTGGGAGGAGTTGGATCTGGATCCAACCATGCCCCCCGGTTCTTGTGTTCTGCAGTGAGGACCATCTC